AGACTTGCCCTCAATACTTTTTTTTTCGCATTAGTAATAATCACAGTTTTTAAAACATCAGAGATTTACAGCCTTCTTTTATTTCAGTGGAATTTAAATCTGCCCAATGTTACATCTCTGCAATAAGAGTATGTCAGCACATCGAGCCAAATCCACAAAATCTTTCCATTATACCTTCACCTTGAACGCTGTAATACCACCAAAGGCAGTTCCCTCTCCCTGTGGTTTTGCCCACGCCCAGTCCCTGTCACATCGTAAGATCATTTCAATGTAAATCTATTGTAAGTGAAATTACAGCATAAATACAGGGAAGAATTTGGTGGTTTTTTCCTTCTGTTGAGGAAGATGGCCAAATGTTAATTTTCATGATAAATTCCACGCAGCTTTCAGTTTGCATGTGGTAAAAAAAAGTTATTTATTGCATCTTCATGCTCTTCTGTTATCTTTCAAGAGTCTTATACATAAAGATCAAGGTATCTTTACCCTCTACTAACTACCACAGGATTAGGTAGGCCAGCTGGAATTATATGAAGTAGTCCAAACACTTGTCAGCATCTTTGGATGGATGGGCTGTCTTCCAGCTCGTGTGTGTGTGCTCAAGACAATCCCACCTTAAGAGAGGCCTTTCTGCCCACATGGGCTGTATGCTGCCGAGCATCACATCAGATGCAGGGGAACACAGACGTGAGAGAACCAAGCAGTTCCTGCCCACCTGCAGTACAGTACCGCTGTCAGAGCCCGTTAGTGCAGCAGTGTGCCACAGTACGGCACTGTGGCTGTCAGGGGGACTGAACCACCGTACCTAATTGTGCACAGCAGCAGCCTGTGACCTTCTGCAGTGTCTGCAGCCCCTTTGGAGCCCTACGTGCCAGACTGTGTTTGGTCAGTAGGTCTGACCTTCCACCCTCACTGTCACTGAGTGACTCAAACACCGATGGTACGAAGACCAGAGTGTCAGTGCTGCAATGGGGATATTTCCTACCCCTACACATTTGGTTTACTGAACACAGCTGCTGCAAGAACATCAGTGTGGTCCTTTTATAAAGACCTCCATGTGGATCCCAAGTGGCAAGTGGCTCTGTAGTTGGTGGTAATTGATTCATGCGTTCTGTTTGCTTCTTTGTGAAGAGAGGAAAAATGAAGTCTCTAGTTTATGTAGCCTGTGTGCCTGTGGCTGTCAGTTTTATCTTCCCCTCATGTTGTCTGTCCAACTGTCCCACTTTCTGCTCTTTTGATCATGGTTTGGAGTTTACTGCACAGCCTCTGTGAGGGCTGGGCACTGCTGGCTGTCTCAGCACAGGTAGTAAGGGATAGGTAACGCACAGTGGTGAGGGCAGGGGCTTCACAAATACCGCTAATTCCTGGGTTATCAGAGCCTGATAGCTCACACCAGCTCTGTTTGCTTAGTGACTGACAGCATATTCTCCACAGATCAATAGGAAAATTGATGGTGACCATACTGAGAAAGCAGTTATGAGAAAGAACTGATTGCATTCGACCTTGACAGCTATGGTGGATGTGTAGTCAGCAGAGAATGGAACAGCCTCCCTGCTTTTTATATGCCTTTCACCCAAGTGAGGTGTTCAGATGTAAAATCTGGACGTCGCTGAAGTCTGTAATGTTTTTGTAGGACTTTGAAAGGACTTTGCAGTACCTGTGCCACAGGAAGTGTTACTCTGTGTTCAGAAAGCATTTTATTACATATATTAATTAGAAAATAATTAAATTAGACACTTTATTTGAAAATAACTTAAGGGTTCAGAAAGGAGAGGAGAACGGAAGCATGCAAGTTTGAAGGTGCAGTGCTTGGTGCTTGGGTCCTTACTGCAGCGGCCCTGCTCAGGCTTACAGGCAGAAGAAGCAAATGCTGAACGGGAGGGGTGTTCCTTCCAACTGCAAACCGGTGCTGCTGTGGCGCAGGGCAGCCCGGAGCAGCCTCCAGCCACGGGACGAGGAGGCCGGGCGCCGGCTGCGTTGGCATCGGCTGCTGCTGCGGGCCGGCATCGGGCGGCGGTGCCGAGCGGCGGCTCCGGGGCTGCGAGCAAAAGGCCGGGCCTGCGTGCTTATCTCTACTTGGAGGGTTTTTCTTCTTTCACCGTTGAAGCAGTTGAGTTTTTCGATCCAAAAGTGCGCTCGGGACAGAGGTGTAGGGATCTGTCACCATAGAGAGTCCCGCGCGGGGTTCTTTAATTCACTTAATTGAGACTACCTGAGCTTCTCCTTTAGGTGGCCGGGAGCAGCGATCCCTTTCTCCCTCCCTGCGGCGAATCACCCGGGCTGGGGCCGCCGGCATCCCCCGCTGGGCCTGGCCCCGAGCCGCCGCCTCCCGCCGTGCGGAGGGCGAGGAGGGGGCCCCGGGGAGAGAGCGGCCGGCGGCTGCCGCCCGCTCACCGCTTCTTCTCCCGCAGCTCTTGGACCTCTTCATGGTGTGGGACTGGTCCACCTACCTGGCCGACTACGGGCAGGCCACCTCCAAGTACCTGCGGGTCAACCCCAGCACGGCCCTCACACTCCTGGAGAAGTAAGTGCATGCGCTTACGGGGCGGCTGCGGAGCCGGGAACGGGGCCGCCCTCCCGGCGGCTGCGGCGCTGCCCGGAGCCGGGAGCCGCGGAGCCGCTGTGGAGCCGGAGCTGCCGCCGCGCCGGGAGACACGCGGGGAAGCGGCGGTGGGACGGGAGCGTGCGCGGGCTTGGGCTTTTCTAACGGTGTTCTCTTTTCTCTCCTCCCTGTGACGATCTGCGCTTTGCAGAGTGCACAGAGGGTATGTACCGCTTAGCTCTTATCGAATATTTTTTCTTCAGTTTATTACGTTTTCGGAACTTCGTTTTAAAATCCATCAATAACGAAGCTCAGTAGTAGAGCCCGGGGGCGGTTCGTGCAGCCTGAGCTTGGCCCAGAGCCACCGTTCCACTCGGATCTTTGTTTTCCTCCCTCTTTACGCAGCTGTAGGGGCAGCACCGCTGAAGTGGGATTTGCCTAATGTGATTTGGGAAGTAATATTTGTTACTGCGAGCTCTGAGTGCCGAAGGTTTAATTTAAGAACATACACATAATGGACTTTGTAACCTTTCAGTTTGTTATAGTACAGAGATCAGAAAAGGAACGAGAGTAAACCTACTGAAGTAGAAAGGAAACCTATTTTAGTAGTCAGGTTTTCCCTTTTCAAATGGTGTTTCTAACATGTCAGTACCATTCCCTCCCCTCACCCCCTTTTTTTTTTCCTCCAGAATGAGAGACTCTAGCAAAAAGAACAACATTTTTGCTCAGTTCAGGAAGAACGATCGTGACAAGCAGAAGCTGATTGAGACTGTGGTGAAGCAGCTCAGGAGCCTGGTGAATGGCATGTCCCAGCACACATAGGCCTGCTGCTGCAGAACTGATCCTTACCACACCAAGAGGTATTTCAGAGCCACCCGTTCTGCCCAGCAGTGCTCTCAGTTGGGACATTTGTTTGACTGGTAAAGGAAAAGCGCAGCCCACGGCAGAGATGTGGGGCCCTCAGCAAATGTTCTTTGTACGAATTTTTAACGGATCGAAAACTATTTTGTATATTGTAAACAAATGGTGAAAAATGAGACTGTACAATAAAACCAGCTCTATCACATTGAACATGGGGCAGCTGAACTGTAAATACATTATTTATAAGTGTCTGCAGACAAGATGTTTGCAGTGTTGCTCTGGGCAGGAATTATCTGAGAAGTGATCTCTTATGGCTGGTTTCAGGATGAATCCTAATTTAATGTGTTGGTTTTTTTGTTCTGCTTTCTTTTTTCTTTTCATTCTTTTTTTGTTTGTTTGTTTGTTTGTTTGTTTTTAAGTGCTGAGATCCCCACATTCAGGTACTGCCTGTCACTTTCCTGCATTAAATGTATAGTAGCCTTAAGGTGATTGGACATCATTTTATCTACCGAATTGTGTAGTCTGGAGGTATGAGAAAATCTTCTGATTTTTGGTACCTTTAAGAACTCCCCAAGTGCTAGGCTTGGTATTTATTTAGTGTTAGGACTTCTAGGCTTTGTTCTCTGAAAGAGTTTAATCTTGAGTTTCTGATTGTAAATAACCATTTGAGTTCTTTATAATGTGACTTTCTGGGTTCTGTTCCTCAGGGTGACCATTTCTAACCGTAATTTTTAAGATCCTGGGCTCTCCCCAGGGCGCGGGTAGGGAATAGATTTGCCACTGTTGGTTCTGTGCTGCCTCTGTTGGTCCCAACGCCCCATCCCAGCATGGAGTGCCCCAGGCCAGGCGCCGTGCAGTCACCTCCTGGCAATTTTAGACATGAGGAAAATGTCTAACAGATACAAACCAAATGTAAAAATAATGTACATTTCGCTGTATTTTTAAGTTATTGAACGTCTAAATACAGTAATATAAACCTTACCCGTGTTTGCCTTTGATTTCATGTGTTTACACGCACTCGGCCCTGCGCTTCGGTGGGAGCCGTGCGGCTCCCGGTCATTTACCTCGGAGCGCGACGGCGGGACCGTGCCTGCGGAGTGGGGTCGGGCCGCGATGCCGTGCGGCGGCGGGGCGCAGCGGGGAACTGTCCCGGTTCTGGTTGAGACGGGAAAGCTGGGCTGGGCTGGGCCGGGCCGGGCCGGGTCGGGTCGGGCTGTGGGGGGAAACCCCCGAGGGGCCAGCCAGCAGGGAGCAGCCACTGCCGCCCCCGATCGCCCCGCGCCCCTTCCATCAATCCCGGCTCTCCGGCTCCAATCACCGCACTTAGCTGCGCTGCTTAAATATGCAGGGCAGACGTCATCTGCGAAGGTGGTTCGGGCGTTAAGTGGCCAATATCTATATAAATGTGGCCGAAGGGAGAAGCGGGTGCAGGAGGCGAGCGGGGCCGGGCGGGCCGCAGCCGCAGCCGGGACGGCCCTTCCGCTCGCCGTCTCCTTCCCGGCCCCGCGCGTGGCAGCCGCCGGGGCGGGCACCGCCGCCGCTCCCCGCCCTCCCGGCGCGGGGCAGGGAGCGGGACCCGCGGTGCGCCGCAGGAGGGAGGATGCCGGCCGGGCTCTGCTGGACCGCGGCGGCCGCCCTGGCGCTGCTGTTCCTGGCGCTGCTGCTCGCCCTGTGTCGGCACCTGTGGGCGCTGCGCTGGAGCCTCAGCCGAGATCGTACCAACGCCCTGCCGCTGCCCAAGGGCTCCATGGGCTGGCCTTTCTTCGGGGAGACCCTGCATTGGCTGCTGCAGGTGAGGTGCGGGGTGACGGGGATGGGACGGCACGGGACGGGACGGGGGCCGGCGGGAGCCCCGAGCTGACTCACGGCGCGTCCCCAGGGCTCCCGCTTCCACAGCTCCCGGCGGGAGCGCTACGGCAACGTGTTCAAGACCCACCTGCTGGGCCGCCCGGTGGTGCGGGTGACGGGTGCTGAGAACGTCCGCAAGATCCTGCTGGGCGAACACACACTGGTCAGCGCACAGTGGCCCCAGAGCACCCAGATCCTCCTAGGCTCCCATACCCTGCTCAGCTCTACAGGCGACCTGCACCGCCAGCGCCGCAAGGTGAGCCCCATGGGTGCGCGGCTGGGCAACTCCTGCCCATGCTGGGCTCTCAGCACCATGCGGAGGACCCTTGCTTTAACCGCCTGCCTCTGTTTCCCCCCTTCTGCTTCTAGATCCTGGCCAGAGTGTTCTGCCGCGCTGCCCTGGAAAGCTACCTGCCACGGATTCAGAAGGTTGTGAGCTGGGAGCTGCGGGGCTGGTGCATGCAGCCGGGCTCCATCGCCGTTTATTCCTCTGCTAAAACCTTAACTTTCCGCATTGCAGCTCGGATTCTGCTGGGACTCCGTCTGGAGGAAAAGCAGTTCAAGGACCTGGCCAAAACCTTTGAACAGCTGGTGGAGAACCTCTTCTCCCTGCCCCTCAATGTGCCCTTCAGCGGGCTGCGCAAGGTACTGCTGCCTGCCCCGCTCCTGCCCGTGGCTGGGCCAGGCTGTGGCTGCACAGACCCCTTCCTCAGGCCTGACAAGGGGCACCCCAATGAGTCCAGGGCACTGCCCACCCCGCTGCTGAGTGCCTCCAGCACCTGCCTGCATAGACTCTGGTACAGCATGGAGTTGCCACATGCATGGCTGGAGCCTTTTCCTCAGCTATGCTTACCCAATGCCTGCTGCTGTGCCACTGCATTCCTCCTGGGTTCAAGCCCACTTGTGGCAGAGGTCTGTGTGTGAGCAGAGAGCAGCAGGCACAGAGGAACCTCCCTGTGCACTTTGGGCAGGCTGAGCATTGGAGACCCCTTTTTGGTGCCTGGTGCAGTGCTGGAGGGGAACATGGCAGTGGGACAGCCCGTTCTGCCTCTCATAGTCTCCGTTCATTCTCTGCTGCCCTGCCCATTCTTGCCACCTGTCCCTTTTCAATCTGCTCTAACTCATCTGGCTTTGGGTTCCACAGCCCAAACTGCCTGCCTTTTCCATCAAGGCATTGCCCAACTTCATTTCCTCTATGAACTCTGCTTGCCATCACCTTCCCCACCACCCCCCACTGTCACCATCGTGAGCTTCTACCGCCCACCTGTCCCTTCCTGCCTTCTCAGCTCAGCCGTGGCCAGTCTGACCCCAGACCTTCTCCTCACCTTCTCTTCACCTTCTCCTGCTCACTGCCCCTTTTCCTTTACTCAAGTCCTTCCTGTCTGGGTTCTCCTTTGTAACTACTTCCAAGCTGCTGGCTGTGGCCATTTCTGCCCCCAACCACCTGTTCCTTCTAGCTTTGCTGGAGGCCTCCTGCCTCCATCCATTCCTGCTCTGCAAGGACATTGCTCCTCAGTTGGTTTTGCTGCACAGCCAGAGATTAGCCAGGCGTGATTAACACGTTCCCAATCTGGAAAATCCCCGCATTTGTCACTGTCAGTGCCTTGTTTCCAGGGCTCGTCTTCATTAAGTGACCTCACCCTCTCCATGGGACAGGCTCCTATTGGACCTGGCCAGGCCAGGAGTTGTCTGGTGCAGACCTCTCTGGATTCAGTCCCACAAGTTTGCTTCTGTCAACACGTCCCAAAGCCTTTCCTAGGGCTTATACTGACTCCCAGCAGGAAGCCAATGAATCCTCAGCAGTTCTCACAACCTGCTGCCTGCTGCAAGGCCCCAGGGCCTGGCAGTGGGCTAACTCCATTTTGCTGTTGCAGATTCTGGAATTAAAGATGACCACAGTGGGAGTCCCCAGCCTCTCCAGAGAGGGGGATGTGCCCAACGCTCTCCTGACCCGTGTCTGCCTCCCACAGGGCATCAAAGCACGGGACATGCTGCATGAGTTCATGGAGAGGGCCATACAGGAGAAACTGCAGCGAGCCATGTCAGAAGAACACAGCGACGCTCTGGATTTCATAATAAACAGTGCCAAGGAGCACGGCAAAGAGTTCACTATGCAGGAGCTGAAGGTAACCGCAGCCCCGCGCAGTTCCCTCCTGAGCCGGTGGCTGTGAGCGTGGGGCGGAGGGGTGGCAGGAGAGGGCTGTGCAGGACTGCTGGTGGGGCTCTGCCTTACAACAGAGCTGGAGCCTAAAATGGAAACAAATGCCTCTCTGCCTGTCCTCTTCACAGGCATCTGGCCTCAACCTGGCTTAAGATGCATTTAGACTTACATGGCTGTGCTCAGATTCTGTACATCAGTGTGCACTCGATAACCTCCAGGATGCTGTCCTGGAAATACATAGAGCTGCACCCAGGGCATTGTGCTTGTAGATCATGTCACTCCATTTCCATTCCTCAGGGCTGGGAGCCCAGAGAACTCATCAAAACGGGCTCTGGGCTGGAATGATGGGTTCTGGGACATACCCTATCATCTCCTTATTAATTACACTGAGGAGCTTGAGGACTGTGTGATGCAATATGATTCATTGCTGTGACTTAGGGATGAACCCAACAGTCCTCACTGGGACAAAATGCGGTGAAGAGCACCTTGCCAAAGGTCTTGGGAAAAAAATTGTCGTTAGTGCTGTATCATTCATACCTCCAGGTCATTCCAGGTGAGGCAGGGACATGACACTGCATCTACGTGGCAAGTTTTGAAGCAGTTTTGCATGGGTGCAGTTTAAACATACAGGACACATGGCTTTCCTGTTTATTTAGATATTCAAGGATAGTGATCCAATGCTAAATGTTTCGTACATATTTTGTAGAAGTGTAATCTCCAAATTCTGAAGTGTTTGGGAGACATTACAGAGGTTCTTAGATGCAATTAGAACTGGTTTATTTCAAGATAACTAAAACTAATTCCCAGACTCAAAATGTGATCAGTTAGTCTGGATTGAACTTTGTGAGTATTCATGTGTGTATTGCACAAGAATAACTACATGACCTCTCATCGTGTCCCTGGCTCTGATGACAGGTGAGATGACAACAGCAGGAATACACAGATATTGAAGACAGTGTGGGGTGACATGGCAGTGACCTGGGGCTGGCTGTCCCCGGCTCAGTGGTCCGGCTCCCAGTTGAGCTGCAGCACTGGAACATACCGAGGCAGCTGTGGGAGAACGCAGCCTCACTGTCACTGGTTGTGTTGGCACTGTAAAAGCAGGGAGAGAAAGTAAGCTTCTCAGTGTCACAATTTACATGGCAGCACCATCAGAGGCTGATGCAGGCAGTCATAAGGGCTATTATTTCAAAATACAGAGCCTGCTTTAATTTTCTTGTGCTACATTGTAATGTCCTGGCTTTTAATTGCAAGCTGTGGAACTCACAGATTTATTTTCATCTGTGTCTGCTGTCTTGTAGGTGTAAAGATTCCTGCTGCCGCCTGCAGGAGGTGTGCAGGGGTCAGCAGGGACCTGTTATTTCACCTGAAAGATGCCCTTGAGAGCTGCATTTTGGCAAAAGCCTGCAGTCCAGACAACTTATGTTGCTGGTGATGGTTGCAAATCTTTGCTGCATTACTCTTGACCTTACCAGAATTGGCTCCAGGAGACTTAAGATCAGGTGTCCTTCCCTGTGCTTCTGGCTTCACCCTCCAGACCTAACTCCAATAACTCTTAACTTTCTGCTTCTGAGCATTGGTCTGAGTCCCCTCCTACACAAGCAAATGGTCAATTACAACAAGATGGATTGAATGGAGCCCATTTTAGCTACCAGTGTGATCTGTACATAAACTTGCAACCTCATTGCTCCTGGCTGGCCAGAGAGGCAAAAGCTGCAGGGGAGGCAGGGGAAAGTGCTGATGAAGGTAAAAAACATAATGCTTAAAGTGAACTTCAGCCTTTATGATAAAATGGATGTTGAAATTCTTGTTAAGATTTGTAAATTTTGGGCAGGAAGCTGAGAAGAGCCAGAATGGAAGAGATGTGTCCTTAGTTGTTTTGGCATCAGTTCCTAGGCAGGTGGATGTCTGCTCTGTGTGGAGGTAGATGAGCATGGATATGTCACATACAGATCCCTGCCAGCACTGGGGGGTGCAGGCTGTAGAGAATGGAGGCAGAGGTAGAGCTTTCTGCACAGGGACAAAACCTGTGAAAGCTGAGAACAGTCTGAAAATCCTATCACAACAAGCTCAAAGTGGCATTCAAACTTGTCACTTTCCTTCCCTGCCAGGAGTCAGCCATCGAGCTCATATTTGCTGCGTTTTTCACCACGGCCAGTGCCAGCACCTCCCTCATCCTCCTGCTGCTAAAGCATCCCTCAGCAATCGAAAAAATCCGTCAGGAGCTGGCATCCCATGAGCTGTACCCACACCAGCAAAACTGCCCCATGGCACCCTGCCCAGCAGCAGGCAGGGACGGCAAGCAGCAACTCCTTAGCACAGCCAGCGATGCTCATGAGGACCAGAACCAGCCGCCTGACCCCGTTGAGGAGACAGAGCTGGGGGGTGGCTGCTTCCCCCATCTCCCAGCCCCGCTGGAGCCCACACATCCCTTGAGCAGCCCCCAGCCCCGGGGCTGCCGCTGCCCCTCAGACATCAGCCTGGAGCAGCTGAGCCGCCTGCGCTACCTGGACTGCGTGGTCAAGGAGGTGCTGCGGGTACTGCCGCCTGTCTCTGGGGGGTACAGGACTGCACTACAGACCTTTGAGCTGGATGTAAGTGCCTGCAGAAAAGGGAGAAGGGGGGCTGCCCCCAGGTGCTTCCGCTGGGTCCTAACTCTCACCTCTATTCCTCTCACAGGGTTACCAGATCCCCAAGGGCTGGAGCGTGATGTACAGCATCCGTGACACGCATGAGACGGCTGCTATCTACCAGAGCCCCCCAGGTGGCTTTGATCCTGACCGCTTCAATGTCACCCAGCCGGAGGCTGCCAGCCGCTTCCACTACATCCCTTTTGGTGGTGGGGCACGGAGCTGCATCGGCAAGGAGCTGGCGCAGGCCATCCTGAAGCTGCTGGCCATCGAGCTGGTCACCACGGCCCGCTGGGAACTGGCCACGCCGACCTTCCCCGCCATGCAGACCGTGCCCATCGTGCACCCCGTCGATGGGCTGCAGCTCTACTTTCACCCCCTGCAGCCCTGTCGTGGCGGTGAGGCCTGAGCCAGGACGCTGAGCTCAGCCCGGTGGCGGTGGTCATGGCTGAGGCACTACAGAGCAAAGCCCCAAAGGCTTGTTTTTCCCCTTTCTGATGCTCAGTGCATTAGGAATGGTCCCACAGAGCCCTGAGCACCAAGGGGAGCCTCACCCCCACCAGCCCAGCCCCACACACATTCCCAGGAGCAAAGCCCCATTCCTGCCGCAGGGCTTTCTCTCACGGGTGTGAAGGAAAGGCAAGAGCATCCTGCACACCCCGTCCTGCACACTCTGTCCTTCACAGCACAGCTTTCTAGAAGTGGAAAAGAGGGAAGATGAGGGCTCTGCAGGGAAACACACGCTAGGTCTGCCCAATTCACAGTATTAGCTCTAGGTAGGATAACTGTGTCAAGAGGTTTCTATTGTAAATATTTCATCTCTTTCCTTCACTTCCTATTAGAGCCACCGCAAATGAGACATTTGTTGACCCAGTGGCTGTGAGTGCAGTGCCTGAGTGCCATACTGCTGCCTGGGGCCTGACATGTAGCCTTATCCTGAGTTCCTGTAGGATACAGAGAGCAGCCTGGCACGGAGCACAGACCTGTCATGAATAAATGTTTGGGAAATGTTCATTTCTGAACAGGTCTGCTTAGTGAGGGCACATCCTGTGCTCCTGCTGGTGCTGGCACATGGTGGAAGGACATCTTCATAGCGCTATGGTGGCTGTCACAGGGCAGCCATGACCCTGCCCCAGCCCTGCCCTAGCACTGCCCTATGCGTAAGCACTGATTGGTGGCTCCGGGGCACTGCAGTGGTACCTGGGGCTGAGCCCAGGAGCTGGGGACACATTTTCAGATGGCACATTTTGAGTGCCAGAATGTCTGGTGTCAGTGCCAGGCTAGAAGCCACCCTGCCTGGGCTGGTCCCCATCACACATCTATGCTGGGGCACGCAGCAGGGTGCAGTACTGCCTGGGGCAAAAATGTGGCTCCCAAACGTGGCAAGTCAGATCTGGAAGAGGTTGAACCACGGGACTAAGTTAAGTGCTGTTGGCAGCTCGACCCCATTGTGAACCAGAGCCTCTGCCCCTCCTGACCTTGTCCTGAGAAGTGCATCTCCCTGGCTATTGGAAGGAAAGTGGTGGCTGCAGGTGGAACTGGGTGACTGCTGAGAGGCCGCCAGTGTGGCAGTGACCTGGGGGACATGAGGGACAGGTGGGCTCCAGCCATGGGAGCATCGGGGTTCCTCCATCAGCGCACTTAAAAATTACCCCGAGAGCTAACGAGCCCCGCAGCCACCCACTGAAACGTGTAACGTAGATCTAGTTAAAAAAAAAAAGACCCGAAACTGATTTTGTTTTCAGATAAACATGAGCATTTACAAATGAAGTGTAATAATTGTTACTTGTAATCAAAGTTTGTTCATATTAGGCTGTTAATTTCTTGACCTCCTTCCAAGATGTTTTTAATTATCCCTTTCACTCTTTACCATTTGATTCTTTTCGAGCCGATGGCTGCGGAATACACAGCTGGGGAGATAATAAAGCCTTCCTGCGGCAATTATCGGTGCTCAGGCCACCGTATCTCGTTATTTTGACAGACAGTGAACTTGGCGCGGTTGCCGGCCGGGTTCACGCAGATGTCACGGTCCGTGTTGTAGGTCACGAGCGGGTCAGCGCCCGGCGAGGGGAGAGCGCCGGGTCAGGGCGCGGCCGCGGCTCCGGGCCGAGCGCCGCAGGGCTGCCCCGAGGGTCCGCCCGGGCAGGGGCTGCGAGGGGCGGGCGGCCACATGGGGGGGAGGGAAGGTCCCGTCCGGCGCGCCGAGCGTCAGAAAAGTACTAATTTAAAATGACGCCTCGCCAGCGCCACCACCCCTGTAGACACAAACACACACACACGCAACTTCCAGCGTTTATTGAGGTCGTGGTAGGAGTAAGAAAGCAAAAGTAAAAAGGATAGGAAAATGGAGGGATAAAAGGGAAGCGATCACGATAGTTTATTGGTAGCTGCGGAGCGGTCCGCAGCCTTATCCTTCCCTCCGCATCCCCGCAATGCCCGGCTGCCGCGTCCTTCGGAGCTTATTCTGCACGGGCCCCAGCGGAGCCCATCGGGGTCAGCTCCTGCAGCCTCGGGGCCGCGCTACTCCCGCACGTGGAACCCCGGGGGTGCGCCGGAGGGGAGCACAGCCCGCCCGGCGGGTACGGCCGTGCCGAGCGCCTCTCCCCGGCCGCGGTAGCCCCGGCGAGCCCCGGGCGAGGGCGGGCAGCGGAGATCGGAGCCGAGCGCAGCGGGCAGGGTGTTCCCTTTCCGCGCTCACCTCCCTTTCCGTCGGTGACCCGCGGTTGAACCTGCATCGGGAGGCCGAGACGGAGCGCTGCCCGCCGCTCCTTCTTCCGAGACCGGGCAGAAACACGAGCCGGGCCTTCCGAGGTGAGCCGGGGGACGGCGGAGCCACCTCCGCCGACGCGGCTCTGCCCGGGGAGCCCTCAGCCCGGCTACCAAGGGGTCCCGATGGGCGATGAGAGGGCCGGCGACGGAGACCCACGGCGGCTGGGAGCGCCCCGAGGGTGGGTACCTCCCGGCGGCAGGCTCCGTGCCGCCGCGACGGGGCACGTCTCCGCCTCGGTGCTGCCGGTCCCCAAGGAGCGCGGCGGTAAATCCGAAGGGGCGGTTGGTCCTGCAGCACCCCGTCCGTCTGCCCGGCGGCCGTCTGCAGCGGGCGAGATGTGCCGCGCAAAGCAAACAGTTAAAGATTTCGGGGGGAGGAGCCAGGCCGCAATCCGCAATTAAAGATGAACTTTGGGTGAACTAATTTATCGGATGGTAAGGTAGGGTGGGCAGCAACCTGGGAAGGGTATAAAAGACGGCCCGCGGAGAGCCCGAGCTGCACACTCGGAGCTCCCGGGGGGCCTGGCCGGACCGGGCTCGCCGCCCCACCGCCCCACCATGGGCTTCTCCGCCCTGGTCGCCAGCGCCCTGTGCACCTTCCTGCTGCCCCTGCTGCTCTTCCTGGCCGCCGTTCGGCTCTGGGACCTGTACTGCGCCAGCGGCCGCGACCCCAGCTGCCCGCTGCCGTTGCCCCCGGGTACCATGGGGCTCCCCTTCTTTGGGGAGACGTTGCAGATGGTGCTGCAGGTAAGGCGGGCAGCTTCCCCTCTCCCCGCAAGGGACGAGGCTGAGCAGGGCTGCGCCGGGCTTCTGAGCTCAGGTGTGGATGAGCTCATTCTTCTCTTTTTTTTTTTTTTTTTTTTTTTTTATCTTCTCTCCCCCTTGACCCCCATTTATTTACTTAAAACTTATTTTTTTTTTTTTTTCAATTTACTTATTTCCCTTCCCCGTCCAGCGGCGGAAATTCCTGCAGATGAAGCGCAGGAAATACGGCTTCATCTACAAGACTCATCTCTTCGGGCGGCCCACGGTGCGGGTGATGGGCGCCGAGAACGTGCGGCACATCCTGCTGGGTGAGCACCGCCTGGTCTCCGTGCAGTGGCCCGCCTCGGTGCGCACCATCCTGGGCTCGGGCTGCCTCTCCAACCTCCACAATGGGCAGCACAAACACCGCAAAAAGGTACAGCCCCAAAGGCGGGCTGGGAACGGGGCAGCTGTCCTGAATGTGGTGGCTGAGCCTGTATCCCCTTCCTCTACTCCTCCTCCTCCTTGTCCCCTGGGCAGGTGATCATGCGGGCCTTCTCCCGGGACGCCCTGCAGCACTATGTGCCCGTCATCCAAGAGGAGGTGAGTGCCTGCCTGGCACAGTGGCTGGGCGCTGGGCCCTGCCTGCTGGTGTACCCTGAGGTGAAGCGCCTCATGTTCCGCATCGCCATGCGCATCCTGCTGGGCTTCCAGCCCCGCCAGGCCGGCCCTGACAGCGAGCAGCAGCTGGTGGAGGCCTTCGAGGAGATGATCCGCAACCTATTCTCCCTCCCCATCGACGTGCCTTTCAGTGGGCTCTACCGGGTGAGGCTCCAGGCCAGCTAGGGGTGCTCCCAGGGCAGCAGGGAGGGATGGCGGTGTGGTGTAAGTTGGCAGCATGGCGTAAGTTGCTGGGGTGGCACAAGTCTCAGCTCGCTCTCCCCCTGCTTGCACAGGGCTTGAGGGCACGCAACATCATCCATGCCAAGATTGAGGAGAACATCCGTGCCAAGATGGCCCGCAAGGAGCCTGAGAGTGGTTACAAGGACGCGCTGCAGCTGCTGATGGAGCACACACAGGGTAACGGAGAGCAGCTCAATATGCAGGTGAGGTTCCCCCCATCCAGATCCATCTCTTCCCACCCTGCTTCTCTCCCTCAGTCAGCAGCGTGTTTATCTTCGGGACTGAAAACGGAGAGCAGGAGTTGCTGTCCCTTTGCCAGGTCATAAAGCAGCCTGTGTAGTGCACGAGAGTCCTGGGGACAGAGGATGCAGCCAGGCTGCTGGATGAGGGGTGTAGGGTTGTGCTTGTGGGGACCACCTCCCACTCTGGCTCCAGGGTGCCCGCTCCAGCCTAAGATCACCAAGCCGCATTGGTGGTGGAGTGGGCCCAATGGGGATACCACCCTCAAGGCATATTTTCTCTCTCCTGTCCTGTGAGTAAGGAGCTGAAGGAGTCTGCCACAGAGCTGCTGTTTGGGGGCCATGAAACCACTGCCAGTGCTGCCACATCGCTGATCGCCTTCCTGGGGCTCCACCATGATGTTCTGCAGAAAGTGAGGAAGGAGCTGCAAGTAAAGGTGAGTGTCTTTTCCACAGCCACTTCCCATGAGCAGGCAGTAGGAAGGTGCCTCAGAGAGGTGTCCCAGGATGGGTTCCCCTTGACATAGGAGGTTCCCTACTTATAGGAGGGTAGGGAAATACCATTAGCTGAGGGACAGCTGTCTTGCAGTGCATGGAGCCTGTTCTATAAATGTCATGGCAGCATCTTCCTACCTAGGGGTTACTGTCTGGTCCCAACCAAGAGAAGCAATTGGACATGGAGGTCTTGGAGCAGCTGAAGTACACAGGCTGTGTTATCAAGGAGACCCTCAGGCTGAGCCCTCCCGTTCCTGGAGGATTCCGAATAGCACTCAAGACCCTTGAGCTGAATGTAAGTAGGGCTGGGGCTCAGCTCCTCGTAGCACTGCCAAGTATGAATGTGCTTCTGTAGGTACCAGCCTTAGTGAGTGGGGGGAATCAGAAGGTGCACCTGCATGTCACATGCTGAATCTTCAGCTTCCTTAACAAAACAATGTGCTTCATGTCTCCTCTCTCTTCTTTTGGTAGGGATACCAGATCCCCAAAGGCTGGAACGTTATTTACAGTATCTGTGATACCCACGATGTGGCCGATCTCTTTACTGACAAGGACGAGTTCAACCCAGACCGCTTCATGTCGCCGTCTCCGGAGGACTCCTCTAGGTTCAGTTTCATTCCTTTTGGTGGGGGCTTGAGGAGCTGCGTAGGCAAAGAGTTTGCAAAAGTCCTTCTAAAAATATTTACGGTGGAGCTGGCGCGAAGCTGTGACTGGCAGCTGCTAAATGGACCTCCTACAATGAAAACGGGCCCCATAGTGTACCCTGTGGACAATCTGCCTGCCAAATTCATAGGTTTCAGCGGCCAAATCTGAGTGCTCAACGCTTCCCTCCGGCTGGATTTCTGTATAACATCTCATATGTACATAGTAACTTTTTATTGTAATGAAGGCCTTTAAATATTTAAACTTGTAAATGTACAGTAGTTATTTATGTCTAAGTATTTCAAAAGGCTATGATTTTTTTCCCCAAGCACTACAATTATGGGTCGCTGATTCATAATTAGATAATTTTATTTCTATAGAAATAAGTTTTCCTCTATTTAAAAATCTTACTGCAAGCTGGCCAGATATATGTTTGACAAGACATTTCACCATGGTGTATGCATTCAGAAATATTCTCAAAGGCATTTGGAACAACGGCAAGTAGCTATCATCCAAATTATCTAAATGATTATGTTTTGAGGTTTTCAGTATTATTTGTGTCTAGATCTCATGTCTAATGTGTGAATTTTAAGTTTGATAATAAAGTTTATTTTTGAAGATCCTCTGTATGAAGATCTGCCTACGTACTAGAGGGTAGCTTAGCCAGATAAATGAGTCTAAAGGGTCTGAATATCAATCAGGCTTGCTTTTGTGGATATGCTGTTTGCTGTTTTTATGCTCACACCTCTTCCCTACCCTCTTGCCCCACATGTGCTTCTCACTTGTGCACAGTAAACTGTTTCAGCACTGTGATATGACAGTAACTGCTATGCGTCTCTTTATCATAATGTTGAGAGATAGTAAATAAGGAAGTAAAGGGAAGCAGAAGAACAGCATGTAACACGAGTGTTTATCTGGAACTGGAGAAAACAGGTAGGGAGAAAAAAACTCCATGAAGGTTCTCTCCTCCTGTGTTACTGCTGACCTGTATAAACAGAGCACTGGCTCTTGTTCTATGTTGAGTCTGCAGTCCATGAGCCTTTACTTACAAAGGTGTCTCTTATCAGCTGTTAAAGCAAATAAAATCTGCTAT